CATACTCATATATATATATGAGTATGCCATGTTGTGAATTGAGTCTAAATAAAGAAACTAAATGGAATTGAATTACATGTAGATTAGAATAAATTACTAAATATTTAGTTTGCATCTAATTTGGCTCCAAGTCGCTACAGAGGGATGTGTCATGATTTAGTTAAAGGTTTGATTTAGTTAAAGGAACCCCAGCTCAGTTAGAAGCCCATTGATCCTTCCAGAGAGAGAAGGTCCGAACAAATCCAGTTTGCAAGTTGACTTCCTGCCGAGAGGCAAAAACAAAAACAAAGTTAAGACTCAGGTTGATAAAAACTCAGTTTGACTCAGCAAACTCAGCTTGGCTAGAGAATCCAAAACTGGCAAACAAAAAACTCAGGTTAGACTCTGCTAAACTAAGCATGCCTTTAGTGCCCAGTATTGGCAAAACAAAGACTCAGGTTAGACTCTGTTTAACTAAGCATGTCTTGAGTGCCCAGTATTGGCAGAAGAAAAACTCAGGTTAGACTCTGCTAAACTAATCATGGCAAGAGTACCCTGTATAGGCAAACAAAGAAACAGGTTAGACTCTGCTAAATTAAGCATGGCTTGAGTGCCCAGTATTGGCAAAACAAAGACTCAGGTTAGACTCTGCTAAACTAAGCATGGCTTGAGTACCCTGTATTGGCAAACACGCTGGCCTCGAGGAAAAGATAAAAACAAAGTTAAGACTCAGGTTGACAAAAACTCAGTTTAACTCAGCAAACTCAGCATGGCAAGCGTACCCTGTATAGGCAAACAAAGACTCAGGTTAGACTCTGCTTAACTAAGCATGGCTTAAGTACCCTGTATTGGCAAACACTCTGGCCTCGAGGTAGTGGCAGTCAGCAGCTTAACAGTACTCCACAGGTAATGAGGCAACGAGCTGCAGGTGTGCAGGGAGGCCCAATGAGGACGGGGCACCACCTGGTGGAGAAGGAAAGGAAACACAAAAACAGACCACACAAACTGGATTCCTGACAGCATGTAGAGACACTATTGTAACCGCATTGATAATGATGGGGTTACTTACTCTCCTGGTCTGAGATATTACATTAACTTTAGTGCTAATTACTGTCAAAGTTAAACAAAGTACAGCCATTAACCATGAGGAGGAATGCAACAAATATGCAGTAGATTGTTGATGTTTTGCTGAGACATGTTGGCAGAACTATAATAACATCCATCTGTAGAGTTTATTAATAGAAGCAATTGGTCTGGGCTTTAGTTGTTCATTTAGTGATGGTAAACCTGTTTTAAAACCATGTCTCAGTGAACATATCTTAATGTTCCAACTAAGCTCCAACTGAATCTTTATAGAGACATGCAGTGTCTTTAAATAAAATCTTACTTTTATGATTCTGGCTTTGATTTTTGGATCTTCAAATGGTAACCTGTGGTTCCTATGGGACTAGTACTGTGAGCTCTGTTCAGTTAACCTATATAGAGCCACACCACATGTCATCTCAAGGCACTTTCCTCTTTTAAATTCATCTTTTCCATTTGAGCAGGAACATGAGGGTGTTTTGACTAATCCTGTCTTTTTATGGTTTTACTTTATGATCTTTACTATAGCTGCAGTTTTCATTGCTAATCTAACAAATGTTCCACATATTTTACTGTTTGGTTCTATAATAAACGTTTTTATTCAGCGTGTGTAAAGCGCTCTATATCTGGCTTGATTAATTCTGATGAGTTGAACAACAGAACAATATTGTGGCTGTAGGTGACACTCAATGGCAGGCGGCTCTTAGTTCTGCTCCTGGATCTTTCATGTAACTTACCGCAGTGCCCTTCAGGTAAGTCAGTGAGCATGCACAGTGCTGCTGGTCCATGATGATAACAGTCTGTCTAGTGTTTGATCAGCTTATTGACATCTTCTGGCCACTGGTGGATGCCTGAATCAAATTCAACTCATGCTGTGACTGTGAGGTCTGCGATCTAAATTTAGTCCGATCTGTTTATGCTTCTGCTCTCACACTGTGCTCTACACAGGAACACTGCTGCGTCTGACAATCCATCAAACCTATCAACCTAACCAGAGCACATTTCTTATCAGAGCCGGTTAGTCTCTGAATGTCTAAATGTACAGTAAATCTAACATGCATTATGTGTGCTTATTACTCAATGTGTTATTTAGCCGTTTGTACTGTTGTATGCATGTACATTCAGCATCAGACAGCATTTTCTGTTGTAAATAGATAGTTAAAATGAAGACCATGAAAGAAAGATGTCTGTATTTCCATTACATGTTGTCTTAGCAGGTTAAAATACCATATTTTTAATTGCAAAATCCACAGTTTGATGTTTAAAAAAACAAAAACAAAATATATTTTTTTCTGTTAAGTTTCTTGACTATATTCTTAATATTCTTGACTATATTCTTCTTTAATAAGCTCCTTAAAGGATTTACAGTCAGTGCAACATACTGGGAAGTTGGAGCGGCTTGTAAACTAATTGTGCAGAAGTTGTATTTTACCTGGTATTTCAGGGAGTGAGAGATACAGGAACGAATCGAGCAGAATCAGAGCTCATCATGTCTGCCTGCCTGACTAGAAATATCAGACTGAGATGATCAGCAGAGCCTGAGTTGAAGGGGGAATTAGAACTGAATTAACTCAGAGAAGAAGAAAGGTGGTACAAGAATTCAAGTTTTTTCTATTATCTTTGTTCAGGGTAGTTTATGAAGAAGGTTAAGCATTAATGGATCAATCAGATTTTAATTGCCAAAGTACTGTAACGTACAGGAAATTGGACCCAGGAAACAACTCAGACAGGTCAGTGGAATGCAACGGAGTGTGTGGGACAGGGAGCGGCCAGGCGGCTCTTAGTCAGGAAATCCCCTGTGGCGGAGACAACTGGTTAGTGATCAGCAACAGGAAAACTAGAGAGGCTGGATCACTAACCTGTTACTGGGTCTCAGAGATGGCGATTGGCTCCGTGTTGGGTCCGGGGCAGGAGTCCTTAAGAGGAAGGGGCTTGTGGAAACAGTGGCCGTTGAGCGGCGGATGGTTTGCTGAGGACTGAGGCCAATGAGCTCCAGAGACAGTCCGTCCAGTGATCGGATCCAAGCAAAGGTACAGAGGGGCAATCCAGAAGAGAGATCCAGGTCCGATCCAGGGTCCGTTAACTGGTAGGTTCAGAGAAGCAGAGGGGTTAGGCAGACTTGGTTACTCACTGACTGAGTGGGGTTCAGGCTGACAGGCAGGCAATCCAAGGCAGAACTGATGCAGGGGTCCAGAGGCAGATCTGGTTTGGATTCAGGGCAGGTAGACAGGAACAGAGAAGGGATCAGGCAGGCTCGGTGAAAAGGCAGAAAACAGGTCAGGCAACAGGTCGGCAGGCAATAGATTCAAATGCTGGCAGGTACTCAACGTTGGTTTGAGACGATCTGGCACTGGAAACAGATCCAGATGAGGTATACAGTATATAGAGGTGTAACCAATTAGTGATAATAGTAGGCAGGGTGGAGTGAGCAGGTGTGTCGAGTTTGGGATTAAGCCAGTGCCGAGATCGTCACAAGTACAGGGGAGAAAAATTGAGTTTAACTATGTCTCCATAAAAAGATCATTGGTGCAGATGTCCTACTTCTGCTTTTGTTCCAGCACCTCTGAATTAGGGCCGGGCAATTAGTTGCATTTGCAATATTATCGCAGTTTATCTACAATTCTTCTTCTGGTCAGACCTTGTAGTTCAGTGGAAGGGTGGAGTCAGAGTAAAAAATATGCATCCAGGAGAAGGAGGGGGTCACTCCAGTGGCTGGAAGTTGGAGGGGATTTTTGCTGGGAGTTGGAGGGAAGTAGGCTGCCATTTGACTGGCGTTTGACTGGGAAGGGCCATATTGAATGACTGGTACTGTGTGTTAGTTTGCATATGAAGGGGAGTCATGCAGACTTTATCGTGAGTTTGTTCAGGCAAAACCTTAGCCCCTAAACAGCTTCAGCTTCTACAGAGCACTGATTTTATATTTATTACTCACAGCTTAGAAAGAACAAAGATTCCCTACAGTGTTGCCTCACCATCTGTGCTAATAAAAAAGAGTGAGCAAGTGGCAAAGAGTTCCCACTGTCAGAGCTTCATTTAGGTACTCTATTGTGAAGCCTGTCAGCCTTCAGCTTTACATGCTGGCATTACCTGCTAGACCACCAGAGTATGTGTGAACTTCCCTCTGAAGCCAAGAACACTGCCAGCAAGAACTCTGGATGGTTACTGTAGGAAAAAATGTCAGAGAAGATTTTCTTTAAATCATTACACTCATTTTTTCTAAGGTACCACCTTGGTAATTATAGTAGTATTGTTCAATATTCCTTAACTATACCTTAAATAATTGGTATTTAAGCAGTTAAACCAAAAGCAAATACAGCATTCACAGAAAACACTGTTTTATACTGAAGAGTATAGTTAGCAGGACCCGTTACTGTGGGTACGGTGTGTTCATTTCTTAGAAAAATATTGGACTTTACTTTGGCTGATCAATCTGAAAGCTGGCCATTTCTCTGCAACAGTCGTTTTCTTTCTTGTGAGTGTGGAGAGCTATGGTGAGACATCAATTGATCCGCTGCCCATTCGTGGCTAAACAAGCTGCGCTATGTTCCTGGGAATCCCTTGTGCATCTTTGGAATCAGGTTTCCCTGTTTAGTCTGGTTTGAATGCAGCTGGAGTCTCATCTGGTTTCTGTCTTTGTGTAACTGATGAGGGGAAAAAAAGACGTTTGTCCCTCCTTGACTTTCTGAACTATACATTTATTTTCTGACACTTATTGGAGAGATTGGTTTTATGTCAAGTGTTTTTTTTATGATGTCTCTTCTCCCTGCCAAGTCGGGGAAGAAACAAGTTTGTCTAAGACAGGAAAAATACAAACACCAAATGATTGCAGAGCTTTCAAAGGCCATTTAAATGACGGATACATGCTCTCAAAGATGCTACTGTTATAGAAAATCAAAGGTGTTTTTCAACTTTGCTCTCTTGTCTTATTTTCTTCTTTAGAAGAGCATGACATTGATGCCCCAGGAGAGCAGAAACAGCCAGGCTGGGCCTCTGCACAAGAAGAAACCTCCCAAACTCCCCAATGGCTTAAGTCTGGAGTCTTGTCCGAACAACCACCACCTGCACCAGTCATCCGACCAGGAGAACAATCCGCGTCTAGCGCACACACAGGGGAAGAGGAAGAGGAAACATCTGAAGAAGAAGCGCAAAATGGTGAGCTAAATACAGCTATTTAAAGTATGCATATCTCCAAGAGGGTACCATTGTGGAATTTATGTCATTGACTCTTAAACCTGAGTAGGACTCAGTTTACATGACTCCTCACTTTGTCGGGTAAGGGAGTTAGTTATTGTGCAACACCAGATTGGTTTATGGCATTTTAATGTTTGCGACATTTACTCATCTTCTGGTTGAACTTTTAAGTTTTCATCATTTCGATCTGTTTCAGCTCTATTTGTTACTTTACTTTGGTTTGTAACAGTGTTTCCCTGCCAACTAAGAGCCATAATTATGTAAAAGTAAATTTGGGCCAGTAATGATGCTTATATCAACGATGGCGACAGATGCAGGATTTTGCACTGTGACTGGTGGGTTATAGGTTCAATCTCTGGCTTTCAATGTCGTCACCAACATTTGCTGATTGCTCTTCTAGATGGAAGCTGTTGCAACAATATATCTTACTATGTGTGTGAATGGATGAATGAGTAAATGGTAAGAGGAGTGGTGGCCTAGTGGTGAGAGCATTGCGCTAGGATCCCAGAGGTTCTGAGTTCAAGTCCCACTCCCATGGACTGCCACTCTGCGTCCCTGAGCAAGACCCTTAACTCGGACTTTGCCCACCCTTTGGGGAGCTGTGGGCTCCGCAAAGGGATTGGTTAAATGCAGAGAGTGAATTTAATTTTGAGAATGTAATGACAATAAAGTTCTACTCTTCTTCTAAGTGTTTTGGTCAAGTCTTCTGACTTTAAAAAAATACTATATAAGTACAGGACATTTGGAACATGATACATGGTTGGCAGGGTTTGCCCTAGAACAGGGTTCTTCAAAGTTTTCCAGGCTGAGGACCCCAAACTTATGGCGAGATGGAGCAGGGACCCCCTGATTCTATATACTGTATTGTATGGAATTGTGTTATATCAAAATGGTCACTCTATTACAGATGGAGTCATGTAACAAAAGTAATTTCTCCCTGGGATTATTAAAGTATTTCTGATTCTGATTCCTGGTTGATGGGACAGG